ATTTATTTGTGCATACAGAACTGGGGTACAGGCCAGAGGCTCAGGGGCGGCGAGAGGCTTCACTAGAGACAGAGTGGGGAGCAGAACAGGCAGATCGACGAAGTACACTGCTGAGGGGAGCAGTGGGCGGGTCAGGAGAGGTCTGCCACGCCATGTGGTCACCTCCGGGGCAGGCGGGAATCGAACTCATGCGGAAGCGACTTTAGATTCTCAGTGCTGGGCTTCAACCCGCTGCGCCACCAGGGAGGGCCGAGATCTTTTTTAAACAGGTACTGATTGCTATGATTTTTAAAAGAACTTTTAACTGTACCACAAAATTTTGGTATGTTGTGTCCTCACTTTCTTGCATCTTATTCTAATTTCCCTTGAAATTCCTCCTTTGCTCCATTGGTTATTTAGAAGTATGATGGTTTATTTCCACATAGCTATGAATTTCTTTTCCTTTTTTGGCTTTGAAATCTATTTGCATTCTACTGTGGTCAGAGAATGTACTTTCTGTAACTTAAGTCCTTCTAAATTTGTCAAGTTTGGCATAAGTGCCATATTCATGTGGGAGCCCAGCACCAGTAGCAGGTCAGTCTTCCAGGTCAAAGGTGTGGGCATGGAGTAGATCTTGGCCTCCATACTCTTGAGACCATGCCACTTCTTGATGTGCTGGAAGTTCTGTGGGGGTGCATATATTGCAGCTTAGCACTGTGCCTATCGGGCGCCTCCAGAAGCCCAGATCCATCTGCTCCTGAGGGTCATACTCAGGGGTAAATAGTCCCTGACTGACTGGAGAGCCATTTTGAAGACAATTCATAATGTTGTTCACAAGATTGACACATCCCTGAATGTAACACTGGACTTCCTGAAAGGAGAATAGAGGACAGACTCTGACAGTACAAGTGCTGTGATGGATCTAAGCCTTTCCCATGTTATGGTTATAAACCTCCCATACTATTGAGTGAACTTGGCTCTCTACTGTCTGATGCTAATCTTAACATTGTCATTCATTCCTTCCTAGACAACATGCTACTGACATGACAGGTACCACACAACTTGTAGCAAAAACAAGAATGACTGTGACAAGAATTTCTAATACTGCCTCTCCAAGACTTGAGAAATGTGCAGAAAACACTAGAATGGCTCAGTATGTTCAGGGTAAAACAACAGTGGAGGGTTTGTTTGATAGTGTTTTACTAGTAATGTTATATGTATACAACATAATGTGCTATTTGCTGCTTGGTTCAATGACATCTTTGGTTTAAACATTACTCAAGTCTTCTGCAGTTCCTCCATAGTATGTATGAAGGTACTTATTTATAAGTCTCAAATTTACTTCACTTTGATTTTTGTCAACATTTGTTTTTACATAGTTTGATGTTATGAGGAACATGTTTATAACTGTTAGATCTTTGAGTGGCTGATCCTTTTATTTAAAAATCTCCTTACATGCCATTTTTTTTCAGTCTTTAATTTGAAAACAGTATAGCAAATCTTGTCTCCTTATGGTGGCTATTTGTACAATGTATCTTTTCCAATCCTTACTTTAAACTTAGTTGCCCTTCAAACTAGACTTTGTCTCATATAGACAGCCTATAGCTGGATACTGTGTTTTTCTCCCTCCATTTTGGTAGTCTACATTGCATTATTTAACCCATACACATTTGACACTATGGATGACTTGGCTGTATCTGCTACTTTGTTTTATATTTGTGAGACTTTCTGTTCTATTCTTTTATTACACTATTTTTTTAATACTTGATTAGAGGCATCATTCTAAAGTTTAATTTTTCTGTTATTTAGAAATAATTAGTGCTTTACTGATCACATTTCCAACTAATTCATTAAGTTCACTTAAATTAATTCCTTCACTATCAATGTAGACATTTTTCTTACTAGTCCTTATTTTTTTTGACTTACTGAATTAGTATGAGATGAAGGGATATGCTCTTAGGTACCTTTTGTGCACTGATAATTTTGGACAGGCTGTGAGATGTCATGCACAAGTATGTGTAATTTGTTTAACATATACTCTATCGGATCACCCTTTTATACCTTTCAAAGATATTGTCACAAATGTATTCAATTTTATCATATGCCATTTCCTATCTATAAACATGTGTTACATAATGACATTATGGCCAAGACAGACCACAGGTTAACATTTTTAAATTCACTTTTTGAAGCCTTGGTTCCACCTAATTTCAACTCTATCATTGTGACTTGAGGATTAGACTATAATTTTCTTCTGCAAAGTCAACCAAATTGTCAAATACTTTCAAAGTGCTTTCCCCCCCCCCCTCAGTCATTAATCCACAAGTATACAGAAGTCTTAAATTTCTGAGTATATAGAAGTCTTAAATTTCTGGGACCTCAAGTAGTAAAAAACATTGGGAGCAATTTTGAAGGTGCCATCCATTATCCAAAGTGAAGCATGCACTAAATTTCGTTACATTTAGTGGTAAATATATGAATCCATCTTCCTTGCTAGTCAGATTTCTGGTCAAGAACAGTTTACCATTTATGTGTTTTGTAACATCGGAGAAGACTTATTAGCAAGTGTCTTTGGTTTGCAAATGAATCCTCCTTTAAAAACATGTTTCTTAGAGAATTTTTTTATAAAACTTGTAATTTTCACCTTTGGAGCCTGTGACTTTTGAGACTTTTATATTTTGGAGATCTTGATCTTTTGTAATTTCAGCATCTGGGACTAAGGCTGGCATCAATTCACAATCTTCTGGCTATTAAAACAAGAATGTTGGAACTGTCCCACTATGATCCTGGATTTGGGCAATTTTATTTTCTCTCTTACACAGTTTGAAGCTCAAAGCTCATAGTGCATTCTGATTGTTTCTCTATTCCTGGTGATGGAGCAGTTTTGTCCATTATGAAAGAATATCTGTAGTAATGCTTCTTATTGTGATAGTACCATAATACACAAATACACAAAATGTTAATTCTCACTATAATTTTAAAGAATCCACCAAACTGAATTTTTTCCTATTTTAACTTTTCTCAAGAGTTAAAAACAGTAAATTATTTTAAAAACAGTAAATTACTTGCTATATAACTTATTCAAGGAAATAATGGAGTTTTGTATTTTCAGGTTATTATGAAGGAAATCCTGCATTGCAAGTACAAATTAGTTAAGACAGACTTTAATGAGTACATAGTGATTAACAAATTTCTACCAGATGACAATCTCATAAGAATCAATCCTTACTACTTGTGTGGTCAATTTCCTCACAGCATCAGTAAGATCTGAATGCTTGAATTTTGCTTTCCTGATAAAAATGCAATCAATGGAGTTGTAATGAAGCAGCATAAGATTCTCATGAGAAAAACTGGTTGCTTATCAGCACTCCTTAATCTTAATGCCTAGGCAAGCACTTTTTATAAATTTCAACTTTTTATGATCTTGGCATTTTAAAATATGTTCATACTGATAATTCATGACTTACAAATTTTCATCACTGTCTAAAATTTCTCAATGTAATTGTATTACAGGAGTTAGCTCTTTACATTTCACATATTTTTATGTTTTATTTAACATACTTATGTTAGGTAAATATTTCTATATAACCAGCTATAGTATCATGATTGCATTATCTTGATTTTTACTAAACTATTATGTAATTTCCCACACATAGCTCCATCTTTCCTGTTTTCAAAGTCACAACTTTTAACTATTTTCCCTTACTTTTCATCCCTTCTAGTCATGTTTAAAGATAATCTCTTCAAAAAAACCACCTCTCAAGATCACTACTTGCACTGAATTTCCTATTACAAATTTGTTTTGTAGTCAATTTTGAGAGCAGAATGTTCCTTATTTTTATATCCTCCATAAGATATCTTTTAAAAGAGGCTATTAAAAATATTCAACTTACAAAAATGACCTTGGGAAAGCCACCCACAGTTTTCTTAAACAGTATTAGAACAGGCCTCAGCAACTTTTGCAATAGCTATTTCAAGTCAGCACTAACAGTAGAGCCTCAGAGATGGTCTACTGGAACCATGTTTAGTAAATACATATAGAGCCTCTGAAAATCATGAAGAGAGGTCTCTCTGGCAGCACAGGGTTAAGGTTTCAGTGCTATTAGTCTGTCACCAGCCATTGTGGACATGAGTTTGCTCCCCAGGCAGGGAGTTGACCCACATGGCACAAATGACCTCTCTTGACTCACCTAGTGTCCCCTCATCAGTGTATTTTACTAGATCCCCCTGGTCTGCTCCTTACTCTGTCTCTGATGAATCCTCTCATCCTTGCACCTCTGGCCTACATCCCAGTTTTTGTATGCACAAGTAAAAAATCTTTAAAAGTCATGTATACATTTATTAAGACCTGTATATAATATTCTTTATAACTCCAGAAATGTAATCAGGAAACGCAAATCATAGTCATCTCCTGACTACAATCTTTCTGTCCTACTCAGACTGGCAGAGTAGCAATTAGGCACCTGAGATTATAGTAATGAGCCTCAAAATATTTGTCCAGTTTTGAGCTTTGAGAGTATTAAAATGAGACAGACTGAGGTAAGATATGGTATGGCTCTTTGTAGTTTAATCTCAGTGGGAATGTTATAACAATTATCCATCATAATTTGATTACATCAAACGAAATTTCTCTATTTATACCCATTATAAAAGAACTACATGATATGCACAGGCAAACATGCAGGTTATGCAATTAAAAAAAATTTATTTATACATACAGAGCTGGGGTACAGGCCAAAGGTGCAGGGGCGGTGAGAGGATTCAACAGAGAGTGGGGAGCAGAACAGGCAGACTGACTAACTGCTAAGGGGAGCAGCTAGCAGACAAGAGAGGTCTGCCGCACCACGTGGTCAACTCCTGGCGGGGATCAAACTCATGCTGAAGTGGCTTCAGTTTCTTAGTGCTGTGCTTAACCCGCTGCGCCACCAGGGAGGGCCAATGCAGTATTTTTAATGCCAGAGTTCAAGATATTATGCAGCAAGAAAAAAATACACTGGAACTGAAAGCTGAGGTGGAGTGCAATGGTCAATAAGGTAAGCGGAGCAGAAAATTGGAGATGCACTTAGATATACCAGTTCTTGCAAGTCATTTCCAATGAGTTTGTTCGTTTCAACCGAAGCAGAGATCAACCTCCAGGTGTGGGCTGGTACAAGTGCTGGCGAAGACTTAGGTATATTAACCTGACTACCGTGGGATTCACAACAACATACCGAAGGAAAAGCTATAAAGTCAACACATGAATTCTGTGCGATGTCTTTCGTTGAGGGGCTTTGGTTTGTTTGCATCTTCCACCCTTCCCTGTGATATAATCCTTATCTTGAATGCGTTTCCCCAAGTATTCTGTCGTCGATCGCTAGCGCGAAATACCGTCCACCCATCTCACTGAGAGTCAGGAAGTCACAATCTGTGCCAGTCATGTCGAGGTGGGTGTCACTGAACGCTGATCTTTTACTTCTAACGAGGTTTTCGGACCGGCTCTTTTGCCCTAGCTCTCGACCACAGGCAGGTCTTCGGTGGGCCAAACCGTCTTGCGACCAAGCCGGCACCACGCACCGGCTCACAGGCCTTCGATTTCCTCTTCCACACAGTGACCCAAAGACGCGGGTTCCAGGTGCACAAGGTTTCAGTCAGAAATAAAGCCAACTCAGGATCACTTCCTCTGGCCTGGACACATCCTTCAACTGGCCCCAGCTGGGTCCCTGAGTTGGGGAGCCGCGGGGAGAAGGGGCTGGTCGGCCTTGGTAGTGTTTAAACTGAACAGGCAACTTCTCTGTCACAGAACTTCCGTCACTGCTCCCAGCATCCTTCTCGCGGCCAGCTTCACAGGTGGCATCACAGGGCGGCACTCCGGCTTCCTTCACGTGAAGCACGCACTTGGCAGAACTTGCTAGGACCCTGATGTCCTGGTGACTCCGTTATAACAGTCCCGTCGCTCGGGTCGCCTCCCCGCCGGGAGTGAAATCCAGTCAGTGATCCTGTTGAGGCACCAGTTTTCTTCTGGCAACCGCGACAAAAGCCACCCCGGGGAACCGGGCGCCAACACGGGTGAGTGAGGCTGCGGACTACATTTCCTCCGCTGACTGGAAAGTAGTCCGGTCCAGCCGCCCGCGGCTGTTCACTTGCCGCCACCAGACCCCGGGACAGCTCCCACCAAGCCCCGACTGCCATGCCGAGCCTCCGGGGCGCGGCCCTCCTCACCCGCCCCCCGCCCCGAGAGCGGCTGCAGCCGCCTCAGGTCGCCCCTGGCCGGCGTCTTCGCGGCCAGGTCGGAGACCCAGCGC